CAACTAAAGCCCTCCAAAACATCTTAAGCAAACCAAAAGGCCCAGTAGCCCAAGAAGAAAAAATAGGAGTCATCTACAACATATAGTGTAAGGACGGTAACAACCACTATGTAGGACAAACAGGCAGAAGACTAGCAAAGTGCATTCATGAACACCAACTAGCAGTCAGAAGACACAATGAAAACTCCTTAATCTAACAACACATGGACAGACTCAACCATAGTTTCAACTGGGAAACTGTCAGCATCTTAGATCAAGCTAAATCCAAAAACACAAGGGAATTCCTCATCTTAAGCAAACCAAAAGACCCACAGGAATTCCCTTGTGTTTTTGGATTTAGCTTGATCTAAGATGCTGACAGTTTCCCAGTTGCAGGAATTCCCTTGTGTTTTTGGATTTAGCTTGATCTAAGATGCTGACAGTTTCCCAGTTGAGCTTGGTATTCAGACAAGTCAGCCATCAACAGGCACATAAACAACATTTACACACCATTCAAGAGAGACAATAAAAAGGAAATAAAAAGACCAGAACACCTCCTCGCCAGCAATCAACATCCCAGATAAACTGGGATTAACACCAGGATTAACACCAGACAGTCAAGCAGAAAACAATACCCTCCTCAAGGAACTACCAACTCAGACAATCAAACAGTAAACAACAGCCTCCTCTAGGAACTTCCAAGAAAAAAAATAACACCCCCTCTAACACTGACAGGGCTAACTATTGTATATAAACAGAGAACAAATCCCACTTCCTTCTAGCACTGAAGATGTTACCTAGTTGGGTAATGAAACATCTGCAAGAAAACTACTAGGCTCAGAGAACCCCAAGAACTCTACAGTATTTTTGCTCTATAAAACAGAAATGCAGTGTCAGCTACAAATTGAAATAATCTTAATGCTCATTTCATATGAAAATTATTCCTCAAACTATGATTATGTAAAGAATGATTGAGGTTCTTTGACCAGAGGATTATGCCACACTACATCTTTATTGGTGCCATATACAGTAAATGCTGATGCAAGAAAAATAGGGCATTTTAAAGCTCTACAGTACTCTGTCATATAGTTTAGAATACAGAACATGTTACAAGTATCCATTACTTCTGTAGTAGATATATGTAGGGACATAGCATTGAGTAGAAGATTCTGTGAAAATCCCTGATATAAAGCTTTGTTTACAATTGCACTGTTTTCTTTGAAACTTGAATAGAAAGCTTTGAACAATGGTAAAATGCTATAATTAGTCTGGCTTAGGATTTAAAGATGTAATCACAGCGATGGAATTTTAAAAATGCTAAAATTCTATGTTCTGTGTAGGAAACAAATGCTCTTGCTAAATCAGTAAAACATGGGGCTGACTAATTCAAGTTAGTTTCCTGTTTAGCTACCTCACCATTGTACTGCCCTTGATTTACCTAAAATATCAAATGCTTCTTCTTAGGCACTTAGGAAACATTTCTAAGTAGGAACAAGGAACTGAAGCAATTCTGAACAGCATTTTGTTTGAACATGTCTAGTTTTGATTGCACTTGTGTGTTCTCAAAAAAGAAATAAAAAGCCTTATTGTCTGTGTTAATTAAGCATACCCTTGTCCTCAGAATGACTTCACTTGTTTAAACAAAGGTACAAAGGTAGAAAGTGATGGTGCTCTGATTTTCAGTATGCACCACAGTCAAAGTTAACTCAACAGTACCTGGTATTCTCAACATGCAGCAATATCTGGAATAGTTTTAAGAGTTTTGCAGTACCTGCATGTTTAGTTACCCTGTAGTTTCTCTTTTAGGATTTATCACATCAGTTGGTTGAATAGCCCGTGCTCTTTCACATGCTGGGACTGAAATTATTCCTTAAGAACTCTACCAGGCTGTTTTCTTAATTTATATATAATACAAATCTATAAATATGTGTAATTTCTAGGGCAATTATAGGATTGCATCCTGAATTTGCAGCTCCTAAACCCACCTGTCTAGGAGTAAGTTCAGTTAAAACTCATTTCTCATTGCTAAAATACCTCTTTTAGCTCGGAAATGGTTCATAGTAAAGGTCTGCCAAAATCTTGCTCCAGGGATTAGAGGCGGCTGACTGGGGACAGGTTTTTACGGGGGATTGCATTCTGCTGAAGAAATACTATCCTCAGAAACATTAAGTGCTGCCAACTGTTTAATTTTTAAACACCAAATTCTGATTCTTTGTTTAACGATTCTTGATGGCATGCTTTAAAAAAGGAGTACGCTTATATCCAAGATTATAGATAACTGATAAACTTCAACCCTTGGTGACATGTCAGGAATTAAAATATAATTCCTTGCCTGTTTACCGGGAAAAGTAACTCCTACTGAGTTGAGTGGCAATCATTATTGCCAGGCAAACCTGCAAAGATTTGCATTCTTCTCCATGCACGTTTCAGCACCGGGAAATGGAGATCGCGTTGCCTCCCGACGGGCTGGAGTGACAGGTTGTTTCGTAACAGGCAGAAGAACGCCCAGAGACCGTTCTAGATTCCTTTCACGGCTCTTTCCCCAACGTTTGGCAACCTGAGATTGCGACAGCCAGCAAAGATCGAGTTAACGCTGGAGAGCATCGGACACGTCAGGGGCATGTGATCAGCCGACTCAGAGGCACTCGCCCACCCCCAAACCTTTAGCCTATTTCCTGCGCCTCGTGGGAAACTCCGCCCTCCGCTACTCCAGCCGGCGTGCTGATTGGTGCCCGGGCGGCAGCATGTTGGCCAGCGCCCTCTGCCCCGCCTTCAGCCTCTGCTCCGAGAAACCACGCGCGGTTGGGATTGAGGGCGCCGGCGTGAGACCCTCTGGAAACTCTGCCGCTTTCTGCTCGGGCAGGGTCGCCTAAGAAACGGGCCAGGGGCGCGCCGACCGAGCCTCCCTATGGCCGCGGGTGGTGCGATGGGTCCTCTAGTGGGGGCCATCGACCAAGGGACCAGCTCCACAAGGTTCCTGGTAAGCGCAAGTGAACGGGCGGCGCAGCCGCTGCTTCCCCCCAAGAGCAGAGACAGCGAGCCACAAAGGGAGGGCGATTGCCCTTGGGGGGAGTGTGGAGGACACCGGCCGGGAGAGGCGGCGGGCATGTGACGGCAAGAGGAGCCACTCGCCCGGTGGACAGGCGTAATAGGCGCCCGGACGTCCCTAACAGGTGTTCCCTGTGTCAGGTTCATCTGTGGAAGCGAAAGGAAGGATAGGTGGAAGTAGGTTGAACAGCGATGGTGTGCGCTGTTTGAAAACAGCTTTTGGCACGCTGTTTTAAAAAATGAAGTGAAAGGATTCTGGAGGAGAGGGTGTGTTTTGGATGCGATGCAAGCCCTCGCTAGGTTTGGTTCATTTAGCGAGTTGAGCAGTGCCAAAATAAATAGTGACATTGTTGTGGTTAACATCATCATCTTGTCCCTTCGACTTTCTTTTTGACAGGACAACAGGACAGCTTTTTATTGGCTGTTCCTAACTGGAACTGCAGTTTATCTTTCCCTCTGCTGGAGTGAAAGGTAGTTTCAACTAGTATGCCTTCTATTAGCAGCTAGGATATGTGTCTCTTCTTGACATTCTGTTTGTCTTCCAAGGGACTATGAAGGTGTTTTTGGAGGAGAATTTTATGAAGCAGTTGGGCCTTTTCTTCCTCTTCCATTTGAAATCCTTATGTATTTCCTGTGGATGGGATGGTCCTGGACTCAGCTCTAAGGCTGGGCTTACAGAGTTTATTCCATGGTCTTCAGCAATAGATGTATTGGATGAGGGCAAAGTGAAAGGTTTTTGGTTTTTTTAATGGCATTTAAGGTATTTTAGTGCAAGTCCTATGTAATTATCTTGAGAATGCTTACTTGAATCATCTCTAAAATATAAAAAGTGAAGTTTTGTTTTCATTTTTGCCAGATTGATTCCTGCTCCTTACAGTTGAAGGCTTTAGTGACTGTTATTGGAAAGGAAAGTGTTTTTGTAATTTGAGGAGTGATTTTAAAACAGTTTCAGTAAAAAAAAAAAAAAATCCTCTGAATTTTACTAATGCTGTTTTGTAATACTTTTTCTCTCAAAGTATGAGTCATTTTTTTTAAAGCCAAAAGTTACCTGGAGAAGTGTCTAGAATTCATGAACTTATTGTACTTGAGTTATGAAACAGTGGAAGATCAAAATATCTTTCATGGACAGGCTAAAGTACCTGCTGTTGTTGAAGTAAAATGCCATCACAGATAATAGGAATTTTCAGATTAAATAAAACAAATTTGGTCTGGAAATGTATCAAGAAAAAATATACTAACTTTAGAGAAAGTTTAAAAAGTTTTGGTAGGCTCTTGCAACTTGCTTTCAGCTTAGCATACCTTTGTCAATTTTCAGAAGGACCAAAACATGTTTAGGTCCTTTAATAACAGTAGACTTCCAGAGTTGATACTAAATCCATGTTTGTGTATCATATGAATTAAAAGTCTCTTCAGAGATAAAAATGGGACTGGACTTCCTGAGGAGGTATGGTGAGTTGAGCCTACAGCTGTGGCAAAGACCAAGGAACCGGTGAATGGACCAGTTCCTTGGAACCTCTCTGGATAAGGAGAGGACAGGAGATCACCCACTTGTGCTCCAGAAAGCTGCTTCCACTAGGAAACCGCAGGACAGTGGTTTTCTGTGGGTTTGAGCACTAGGAGATAATGGGATCAGCCATCTTGCTTGCAAGCCTTTTAAAGGACACTAAGTTTGCAAAACTCACTTTATAATCACTTTAAGCAATTGCATATTAACTATCTGAAACCTATTAGAGTGCTTCAGAACAAGAAGTTTGAAAAGTGGCCAAGTAGGTTTATCTTCAATTCTGAATAAAAGAAAAAAATAATTATAAGCTTAAGAACTTAAAGAATTTGAAATAAACAGCAAAAAGCTAAATAAGATTTTGAGCTAAGAAAGTTATAAATGGATTAAGGGTCGAGATAAATTTGGAATATCAACTTTTACTATAGGATTTTGGAATTAAATATTTTAAAAAATAACAATTTTCTTGTGGGAAACAGACTTATTTTGGTATCCTGGCTATTGTAAATCATAACAAAGAAAAGTTATCATTTCATAAAGTGGACAGTAGAGGGGACTAAAGATTCTAAGCAGAAGAAAAAAAATAAAGCCTGTTTATAAAACAAAATGAAAGAAAACGTTATAACAACGAGAATATTAAAGGAGATCTTTGGAGCCAAAAATTACTAACTAAAATGACAGGCCAAGAGAATGATTTGGAAAAGGATGTTTTACTGGATATACAAAAGAAACTATCTGAAGTTTTAAAAATTAAAAGGGAAATACAAATGATAGACCATGAGAATGACCTAGAAAATGTTTTCTTATTGGATCTATAAAAGAGGCTTTTTAAAGCCTTGAAGAAATCTGTGCAATGGGATAAAAAAGTCGTGAAGAGAAATCAAATTCTGCAACAATATTTGATTGAATTAAAGATTAAGACTGTTAGAAGTAAAAGGAAGGAATATAAAGTTGGTTTAGTTGATGAAGATTAAAATAAGACATTTTTTGTAATTGTAAGTTCTGGCAGTCCTTAAAAAGGCAACTTTTTGCTGACACCAGGATTGATATTTGATTGAATTAAAGATTAAGACTGTTAGAAGTAAAAGGAAGGAATATAAAGTTGGTTTAGTTGATGAAGATTAAAATAAGACATTTTTTGTAATTGTAAGTTCTGGCAGTCCTTAAAAAGGCAACTTTTTGCTGACACCAGGATTGATGTTTTATGGATTAGCTTATAGATAAGGGATGGGATATGGGATAAAGAACAATCTGTTTGTAGCCTTATAAGAGGTGAAGAGTTATTAAATTTGTTTATGCTTGTTGTGATGAAGGCTGCAAGTCACTTCTTTATATACAGTATTTCTTTTCTTTTTCTTTATTATATTCTTTCTTTTCTTTTTCTTATTTCTTCTTTTTCCTGCACTTTTTATTCTTTTTTTTTTTGCATTCTCTTTTCTTTCTCTAAGTTTAATTTGTATTCGTTTTTACTATTGTAATTAAAATTCTTAATAAAAATTATATTCTAAGAGAGAGAGACATAGAGAAATGGAATTAGAGTTTTCTGTGACTTTGGTAGTTACCTCTAGGTAATGAAAAAATATATAACTATGCAATTTCAATAAAAAATTGAACATTATACCAAAGTGCTGTGTTAGGAGGCACCTTCCAGTTCCTCTATAGTCAAAAACTATTATAAGCAATAGTCCTGCCTTCAAAATATCAAGTTTCAGGTAAATACTGATAAATTACCATACAGAATGGGCAGTTGTATCATTGGCTGGAGAAGAAATAGGAATATTTACTTCCTGGGTCCTGTTAGGTAACATTGTTTAATCAAAGGAACCTGGGTCATGCCAACCGTGCAAGATTAAATTGGCTCAGCAGATACTATGGGAGACAGGCAGTCTGTCAAATAACCAGTCCCTATGCTGTATAGGGCTTTATAAGTAATGACCCACACCTTGAATCACACATTTTCAAATAGGAATGGCTTGGTAAAGGAAAAGATTTTAGCTGAGAAAGTATGGGCTAACTGTACAATTTAGTAATAGCCCAAATTAACTCTGGTAAAAGTCACAAACAACTACGACTGCAGTCCATAAAACTATGGCTAACTAAAATAATAGTTATACTGTAAGAAAGTAAGAAGGCTTATGAAAAATCACCTGGCTTGGCTTGGGTTAAAAACTGCGGACTTCTGATCTTAAAAAATACATTATTGATCTTCATAATAGAAGATGGTAAAACATTTTGCCATGAAAGATCCACACTTTGCTGGATTATCTGTAAAAACACAAAGACCATTTGTCAGTATAAAAATGTCTTTTGAACCAGTTGATGAGGAAATTGTCCTCATCAATATTTCTTTATCTGGCCCTAATTTTAAAAAAATAAGATAGTGTGATCTGTTTGTAAATTGCTAATAACATGGCAACCGATTATATCCTTAATGTACTGATATTTAAGGCCTTTCAACTCATTGAAATAGAGTTGTAGAGAAAATAGAAATGTGGAAGAATTGACAATATGGAAATATCTTCATATAACAGATGTCCAGTTTTTTTAATCAGGATTGTTGAAATAGAAGAGGAATGTAATTCAATTCTAGTTTGTTTGCCTTGTTCATAGACAATTAGAGTCCATAATATCTAATAATGCTTTATAACTAGTTAACCAGTAAACAAAATTTAGTAATTTCCCCAAGTACAGTGGAACCTCGGTTTACGAACTTAATTCGTTCCGTGACTCTGGCCGCAACCCGAATTGGTCACAACCCGAAGCAACTTTCCCCATAAGGTTCAATGTAATTACTGTTAATCCATTCTGGCGTGGAGGACAGGGAGGCAGCTATTGCTTGGAGGGAGAGTCTCTCTCCCTATGACCACATGTCGGGCGGAAAATGGCCACAGACCACGTGTCAGGGGTGGAAAAATGGCTGCGGACCGTGTCACGGGAGGGAAAATGGCCGCGTATCCTGCTCATACCCCGAGGCGGAGTTTGCAAACCGAAACAAAATTTTGCGGCCGGAGCTGGTCGTAACCCGAAAAGTTCGTTAACAGAAGCGTTCGTAACCCGAGGTTCCACTGTACACAGTGACTAGCTCTAGTGCTAGATCTTGATGATGTAGGCAAG